TAAAGGTTTGAATTGTGTTAACACCGATGCTTCTTAGTGCTAAATACCATGCTAGAAATGTAAAGTAATCCTTTGCTCAAGTTAATAAGCTTTTACAGTAGTAATGCACGAAGATGCCACGTTTCATGAAGATGCCACATTTCATGAAGATGCCATGTCGGTGCGGGGGGAAAAAAGGGATTACCAACAGGCACAAGCTTTTTAAGTTTCTTGGGGTTTTTGGTTTTTTTTATTTTTTTGCTGTGGTTTTTTTTTTAAATAAAGTGAGGGTATAAGCTTTATTTAGCTGGCTCTGTTTAAGTACTTAGTTGCTTGGGATTGCAAGTGTCATTATTCTAACACCTGTGAACTTCCGCCATGCCACAGTAAACTTCCTAAATATCTCTGCCATCTGCAACCTGCTGTGCTAGATGATGCTCAGCACCACAAATGAGCTGTGGAGTACGTGTGTTCCATCGTAAGGAGTTCATTTTTATAAAGCCTTGGTGTTTAAATAACTTGTGACACAAACAGTAAGCCCAGGTAGGGTTTGCTGCAGCCGCTTGACACAGGCAGGCAACTTGTGTTGGAGATCAGAATATACTGTGCAGATGTAGGATACATGAGGTACTAAAAAAAACTTGAAGTACTGAAGTCAACTTCTGCGGTCTTTAAATGATACATTAAAAAAATCTGAAGGGTAAAAACCTTATTTGGGCAACCATCAGTGTTGCTTTGGGTGTCCACAGACGGTTAATCAGGTGGGAAACGTTTGTATTAATTGGCTGTATTAATCAGGGTGCAGCCTGATGCATGCACATTCCATTGGGGAAGCTGCAGTTCAGAAGGTATTTACCTGCGAAACTCTTATTAATTAAAAGCAAAGCAGTTGCCATCAGAGATTAAATTTCAGTCAAAATTAGTATGGCTTGGAAAAAGGAGAAGCAGCGATAAAAAGCTAGAGGAGGAAAACCAAGGCTGCTGAACTAAGCAAGGGAGCGTTCGACCACCAGAGCACAGCAAAGCAGTTTTCAGGATTCTTCTGAGGCGCAGGAGTTGTTTTCTCATTCCTTCTTTAACTGATTACAGATAAAGGTGCAATTGCTCATGAAAATATTCTCTCAAATAGCTTAGATGTGGTCATTTTTATTGTTGTCATTTTGCGTAAGCCAGTACTTGTGTTGCATTCTCCTATGATGTTTGTATCTGCAGGCTAGTGATGGAACGTGTAGTTTAGCCGCTTGCTTTTTTATTTTTTTTAAAACAAAGGTCAAGACTTTTTTTAAAACATCTTAAAAATTCAGTTCTTTCAACTGTTTGCAAAGAAAACAGTGCAATTAAGAGTGCAAGCCAACCAAAGTTCTTCAGCAGGCTGTGAGCGTTTCTAAATCCAGCCGTGCCAGGAATCCCTTATGATTCAGGCGCTCGGAGGCAGGTGGCCAGTCGCTGCACTAACAACCTGCTGCAGAGGGCAACAGGATCTGGGACCAAAATGTTGGGTTTGGAGAAGCTGCTGCCCTCCCACCTGCTGTTCCTTGGGGAGTTACGCACCTGAAGAAAACCCGTTTGTACACTGAGCGAATACATCGTGCGTGAAGGCAGCAGATAAGCTCCTATTTGTAACATAAAGGCAAGATCCCTAAGAAAACAGGAAGTTACTGCTTTCATGTATTTTAACCTAGAAGTTAAGAAAACAGAAAGTAGTACTTTTGTGTATTTTAACCTAACGTAGTCAACTAGCAGTAGCTAGGGTGCCTTTCCTGCCCCCTTCCCATTACGATATTCTTTTATGGCTTCTTCACCTTTTCATCTAACTCATGCAATAAATTTGTGAGAAAGGCAGGCAACGGAAAATGCAAAATTATATGAAGATTTGTTGGTCTTATTCATCGGACTGACTGACCTTTATACCCATCAGGAGTGGTTTTCCACTACTGGCATCTCTCTTTGGCTATCAACAAGAAGTATGAGGCATGAAATCTAATGTTTGCAAGCAGTTAAAAGGCTTAAAGTTCTTTTTATTTTATCACTTGGAGCTCTTCTAAAATTTTCCTCGCTCACTAAAGTTATGACAAACTCCATCCTCAAGATTGCATCAGCCTTCCAATCATCTCCCGCGTTTGTCTGGTTTCTGGGTCACACAGTCGCACTGTAGCCTCTCCCTCCAGAGCGCAGATCCTCGGAACAAAGGTTTGTTAAGCTCCTGCCTCCTCCAGCTGGGAGTTTGCACGTATGGCTGTGCTACCTTTGTTTGCTGGACTGGTGGTTTTAACCAACAAGATTTACCTTTATCCGAGATTCGCAGTTGTAAAAATGATTCTATGGCTCCTGCTCCAAGTCAGGAAGGAGCAGCACGCAGCCGATCACTGCAGTGCAGAGGTCTGCTCTCAGTCTTGGGTTGTAAGAGGTTCTTGGGGTATAAAAACTGAGCAGTAGCACAAGTTGTGGGGCAGAAACACGTTTCACAGACGTAAAAATATGCTGAAGCTATTCTTCAAGCGCTGCAAGCAAGAAAAGGAAACCCACAGAGCTTATTTTTTTCATCAGAAACTTAACGTGGAGCAGGATGGGAAGTACAAGAAAATGGGAAGTAGTGGTGGCAATTCCTGTTGGGTTCCTCTTCAAGTCCAATACCAGAGCAGCTTGCGTTGCTAACAGAAAAGGGCAGGAAAAGGATTGGATTGTGTGTGAGGTATGGTTGGGTGAGTCGGGGGGAGAGAAGCCTGTTCTATTCCCAGCTGGGGAAATTGGAAGGTGTTTGAACAGCTGTGAGTTCAAATGAAGTAACCAAGGGGGACAACAGTGGAGAAACTACCAGAAGGTGATGGCAGGTCATGGATGTGAGATGGTGCCATTCTACAGGTGGAAAGTGAGAATTAACCAAAATACATTCTTGGGAATTTCCACAGGTATCCAGACTAACAAGCTGGTGAGTCACAACATTGATAAAAAAAGACAGAAATAACAGAACATGTGTTCGTGTGAGAAGTTCCTGGGCCAGTAAGCCAAGACTTCAAGGTGGCCCTCAAAAAAACCTGACAAAGCTGCTGTTGGAACTGCTCTATCTTTACCCCCTTCACCTACTCACCAAGTTAGCCTGACATCACATCCGGTCCAGCAGCTTAGTGGAGGGAAGTAATTTAAAAAAACTTCAAGAGCAAGGAAATCAGCATTTCAGTTGGAAGAGTCCGCTGTGCAATGAGAGCTGAAGTCCATCCAGTCCTCCACAGCCCCACAAGATTAAACAAATGAGCTGCATGTTTGACAGCTATCTGTGACAGCAGCAGGTAAAATAACAAAGCCTGTGCACGTTTCCAGTATGGCACACCTTATGCTTGCTTACCCTTCACAGAGGACAAAAATAATGAAAACATAAATCACAGCTGAAGGTGTGTCAAGTGGTTAGGAATAGGCTCTGCTCCCGGGTCCAACAACAACAGGGTTTATTGCAGTAGTTTTGGCCAGACCTTGATCTCTTGTGATAAACAGTCCCGGTCTCACAGCTGCCCCAACTTGAAAATGAAAGCTGAATCAAATTGTGATGTGGTTTGCTCCTCCAATGGGGGCTGGGAACAATACTAACCCTCTAAAGGAATGAAAATATTTAGATGAACGAGACTCTGGTGATTTAAGCTATTTCAAAGCCATGTCAAGCACATGTTTAGCTCAAGTAATGGCATCAGGTGCGCCCCCGGTTCAGCTTCACATTCAAGTTAAACACACCTTTGGCCACACTTGCTTCTCATAAATGAGCCTCAAAACAAAGTTCAGGTTGCTGCTTTTTTCAGCAAAACCAGCCTCAGCTGGCCTAGATTTCCGCCCTCTTCCATGTGCTTTACCTTCAGCAACTGCACGATTTGTACAAAAACCTGTTAGAAAACCATGCAAAGTATACATTGCGTGTAAAACCCCACCACACACTTGTTTAGACAGCCATATTGTAATAGAGTTTTTTGGGTGAATTAAGGCTTATCTGAAACTGTCAGAGAATGTCAGCGAGTGCAGAATTTGGATCAGCCGAGTCCCTTAGAAGAACCCCTTGAAGCAGCTTTTTTCAGTTTACCCCTTTCCCATCCATCGGTTCAGACGGCATCAGGGAGAAGGCTGCAGGAGAGGGGATGTGTGAAGTAAAACATTATTCATACAAGACACTGTGATGACACAATCCAAAACCCATTTAATGAAAGACAGCATTCACTTTGTGCGCTTTGCACCTGGCCCACAGCACCCATTAATGATATAGGAGGGTGGGCAGGTTTCCCATTGTTTCCTCCCCTTAAGCATCAAAACCAAAATGCTTTCCCTTCCCGAAGTGACTCCCAACATTTTGTGCACATTTTATAGCAAACATCAGGATTGCAGAACTGACCCGTCTGATTAAGAAAATAATATTCTTAGTGGTGCATTACAAAAGAAATGTGGAAGAGTTCCTCCTAGCTCAAACTACAATACTTAGCGTTAGTGAAAATATTTGCGTAAAGCACATTCTAATGATTTTGTCATTCTCCAGTGAAGACAGGGTATCAGGAACCCGTTGGGCGAAACATTCCTTTTTCCACAAAACAGGCTCTTAACCGTTTCTCCCTAACATAACGCGCACACAACAGCACATTGTCAATTTAAAAAAATATTTAATGCTGCCAAGAAGTATAAAAATACAGTAAGAATGGCAGTACAAAACAAAATATTTCCTAATTTATTTCTTTTACATCTTTCTACATTAATACAGGCATTATAAAAAAAACACAAGACGGTAAATTGTTTTGTTCTGCAAAGTATCATGCTGCTGGTGGTCTTCATCCCCTCGATGCAGTTTACGCTGTAAACAGATAACTGAGGTCGTCTTGGTACTTAACAGACCTCACTTTTTGTTCCCGAAGAGGGGTTCATGTCTTGCTTTGCATGTCAATAGTTTGCAGTTTATAGCTGCAGAATATTCACAAGTCTCGAAGGCTTTAGGTGTCAGTCAGTCTCGGCCTGCGACACACAATGCAGAAGAAAAGTCACCGATTCAGTAGACAGTATGGGGGAAAAAAAAAAAAAAAAGAAAAAAAGAAATACGAACAGACAGGGGGCTTGCAACTCGCTATAAACACCAAACAGCTTCTCACACACCCCCCGTAGCAACTACCGCCTACTGTCTGCCTGTCGCCAGGGCTCTTGGGAAGGCGTTGATTTTTCAGCAGGGATTTCTACAGGACAGTGGAAGGCGCATCCTTGCCGGAGAGCTTCACGTGCGGGCCTCAGCCCAGCAAAGCACCTACACGCGCATTCAAGCCCAAGCCCTGCAGAAGTCTTCTCGGGCCTTAGCGGGGCCAGGGGAGGCTGCCCCTCAGAGCACTAACACCGCCTCTCACAGCTCCGTAGGCCAGTCCTGGCACAGGGGCCTGGAAATAAGCATTTCTGGGGAAAGGTTTCTTGTGAAGAAGACCTCCCAGTACCGGATGCTTTGTTCCTAGGGAAGGCAGGGCTCTACTGTGAGGAACACAGAAAAAGGACCCTGGGGTTTGTGGCACCAAATATCCAAGCTACTACAAAGTGAAACACTTCCAAGTTCTGCAGGCACTACCCTGATTCGCAAAGCTTTCTTTGATCAGTTAAGACACGCTCAAAAAAATTCTTCCAAGTATTTATCCTTCCAACTTAAATAAAGACTCAGACAGAGGTGCAATTTTGAACACATTTATTTTTCGTACATGATAATGGAAGACTAACCTAAAACTCTGGGGGAAAACCAAAAAGCCCAGGAAGACTACTGTGTGTTACGCCAGCTTTGCAAATTCCGTCCTCTGACTCAAGCCACTTGGCCTTGCAGAAGACCTCCTCTTTGTCAGCATTAATTTAGTTTCTTGTGCAGTCCTCAAGTGTCTGAGGTTTAACTATAATGCCAAACAGCAAACTAAATTATCTGGTTAACATTCAATCAGACTTAAAGCTAGCCAGGCTTTTTAATCGCCCGCACAATCCAATCACCCATACACATTTACACCTCTTCCCTTTCCAGTGGGATATAAACCAATGTCAGTAAACCATTTTACTCAAGGTTTAAGAGAACAAGCTAAGTTTCACTTGCAACATCTTAGTTCTGTAAAATAAGTCTGCTGGGTTTTTTCAAATCGCCATTTCATGCTGAATTATTTTACTTAATGCATTTCAAGAAAAATACAGATGTGCTATCACTCTAAGCAGACTGGCCCTGCGCCAAGAACATAAATGGAAAACCTAAAGGACCAATTCCAAATTTGCCAACCCCTTGCAATGGAGGTCCACATGTTTGTTAGCGATTTTTTTTTTTTAAAGAAAACCACACAAGATTTGTACAGAAGTGCTCATCTGAGAGCCAAACATTGCTTAATCAAGTTCAGAGACAACCACTACGCATCAAACTTTTTGACCGATATATTTCCAGAACAGAGGGGAAAACCCAACACGGTAACACTGCAAATCAAGTGCAACAGCATTTTAGAAGCAGAACAGGACCAGCCAGCAGCTTCCTGGAAACTGGGGCAGGGAGGAGGCAGGAGAGGGGTCAGAATGCACGCCCTTCCTTTCTACTCTTTTCTTTAAACATTTCCTACACTAGAGGTCACTGGAATGGACAGTTCTTTGTTTTGGCCCGTATTGATTCTTATTTAACATCCAAGTTGTGCAGAACTGCTGCAAGTTGAAATCCTACAGAATAAAAAAAGTATCACAAGGACTCACTTTGCCAGAAAGAAACAGGCCTCCCCCAGATTTTGGTTTTTAGGGATTAGTGACGGACCAGGAAGAAGAGTTTTACCCAAATAATCTCCTGGAATGTACTAAGGGATCTAACATCTAATTTCCCTTCTACCAACCGTCATGGACAAGTTGCCATAGAAAACAGCTTTGTCTGAGACTTGTATTGGTTCGTGGTCCTTAAATTATTCACAGTTAAGACTCTCAAGGTACTTACAATCATGTAACCAAGCCAAATTTTTACAGATTGCATTTTTTTTACAGTTGAATGTGCAAGTCCTGCCTTATTGCATCAAGACGATAAGAGAGTGCGAGATGACATAAGACGGCCCCCTCCCGCCCTGCCCCACCCAGAAAAGAGGGATGGCTGCTCAGGGGCCAGAGAACAAAAAAGCCAGCATTGAGAAGATGGAACCAGGGAAAAATTCAAGTGACAATTTGTCAAAACACAGGTAGAGCTCAGTGTCTGTAGGATACTGGTGGCCCAGGAAATCCTCCTCATGCAAAGAGGCAGGTGATGAGTGACACTATCAGCTCAGTGAAGGCTTCACCTGCACTTTTTCCTTAGTATTTAGAGTAACATCTGCAATATTTCTGTTACAAAAGCATTTAATTACATTCCATGTGGGTTTCCATTTTGTAATTATATAGAGTATTTTATAAGGCACATATATTTACATCAGTTATAGCAGTTACGGAAAAACCTGTCTTCCCAATTTAAAGACAAAAAGAACCTTTTGCCAAGCCTCTTGTTGGCTAAAAGAGTTACTGCAGTTGTAACCATTACGAAATGTCTTTAAATATGTGCACTGCCTGCCCATACTGTGTCACAGCCATCACCAAGTCATTTTGCTATTAGAGCTGCATAGTTGGTCAGTAACGCCACAGGACAAATTATCTCGCTTTACTGACACACAATTTCCCAAATTCAGAACTGTACGTCCTACAAAATGACATTTGTTTTCCTAATCTGGACCCTGAGGCATTTGCTTACTATATAAACAGCGTAGTCCAAAATAGCATTAGCTGTTGTGAAATGAGAATTTCAAAGAGTAAACTCAACTTAGCTCTGCGGAGCGAGAGTCAGGCTATTTGGGCCCCATGCCTGGAATGTTACTGCTAAGCTCGAATGTACTGGAAACCTTTAAAGATAATTCCTTTGGATAAGGAGTGAAGTAATTATCTAGCTCTTTTAGTATTTTTCAGCAGTAAATCCAAGGAGTGCTTTACAAAAGGAGGGGGGGGGGGGGGGGGGGGGATCTCCCTCCTCCCCCCCGCGCAACTCCATACCCAACAGAAAACCACCAAGCTAGGAAAACGGAGGGAGAAAACACGACTTCTCTGAAGTCACCCAACAAGGCAATGCTTGAATAAATAAAATTCAGGTTCAAAGTGCAGTCCAATATCACAAATTATTAGGTCTCAACTGAAATGACAGCAAGCTACATGCAGCCACAGATGATCTCTGTATGCAAAGAGAATTTAAAGGCCAGAAAGCGATTTGTGTAGAATTATTACTTAGAAAGTGATACTGCCCCACTAATGGAAAGGAGTGCTCCATAATTTTAAAGCAACTGTAGCATAGGTATTCCCAAAATGTCAGTGATTCAGAGTTTGAAGTCACGATCTCTAAAGCAGCGCTGGAGAATCTGAAAAGCAATTCTAGACTTTGTGAAGTTTTGCAAGTGGCTCATACAGCTGAACATAGTGGGTACGGGAGAACGCTAGCAACGTTTCTTGTCTACTACAACCAACCTTGGAAGCCCAACTACAGTTTCCTTTGATGTGCTTTCTACACCTATTACTGATGAATGGATTTCATTCTTTCTAGCAATTAAAATCTATAGACACGCAAAACATTATGCTTCACATTTAATGGAATGTCAGAACTTTAACAATGTTGGCCTCTAAACAGTAGTTGAAGTCTGAATACATGAATCAACAGTATGCTTTTTAGTGGGGGCTAAGTTCTCAAAAGCCTTAAAAAAAAAAACCGAATTTCCAAGCCTTACTTAAATAATGAAAACTACAAAAAAAAAAAATAAATAAGGAATGCAAATTAACAGAGTAGAAATTGCTAAGTGCTTCATCAGACCCCTAGCTGCTCATATCATAAATTTGAGAGTCAAAATATGGGGAATGGTTGCACTATTATTTTCATGCACAAATTATAATTACATTTAGTTTCAAAATCAAGTTCTTTTTGGTCAGAAATTTGTACAAACTGAGCTTTTAAAAGTACAGTAAACTACAAAAAGATTAAATATGCAATTATAAAATATATTTATCCTAGGTCATAAGAATATAAAATGTTTATATTCATGTCACTAGTACATTACACGTTACACACATTTAAGGATAACTTCTTTGCATTAATAATGTAAATGACACAACACTGTTTATTGCTTATGTCAGGCATGTAAATTTAAATGCAGACAGCCTTCGGTAGCTAAACCTCTGTAGTTCAGGGTTTGCTTAAGATCCGGTAGAACACCATTTTAAAAAGTGTATAAACAGTTGCAGCGTGTTTGCACCTGCTCATATAAACAAAAAGCCATCAACTCTGTTGGGGGGCACCAGTTCATTTTTTAAGTACCTGCAGTGGAAAGTCCTGAGATGTTGACATGGGATCAAGTTTACGTCACTTCTCTATTGTATGTAACAGTCTGTACCCATTCCAGGTGTAAGGAGTTTACTGCTTAACATCACACTCCTAGTCATTAACTTGCAGCAAAATTAGCTGCTGGAGCAGACAGGTTTACTGTTTACTTACGAGGAATGTTCTTGAGAATACATAGCAAGAATAAGCGCCAACTAAAAACAGTGTACCAAACCCAATCTTAGTGAGAATAGGTTTCCAATATAACCACCTTTTTCTTTTTCTTTCAGTCTCATTTAGCTTCTGCTTCATCTGCTGCAGCTTCTGTGCTGTGTTAGCTTTTCTATCCTCTCGCAGCCGTTTTCGGACAGTACTTGAAGGAAAAAAAAAGAAAAAAGGTAAATCTTAAATTGTAGAACAGGGGAAAAAAAGGCTATTAAAATATTAAAACAACAACAAAATATTAAATCCAACACACTCCCAGCAGTTAACCAACCCACCAGTAGCATATGGCAGCAGTACATAAAATCTAAACCAAGCAATCTTTATTCCATTTTAACAACCTTGATGTGGACAGTTTCAGGTCAGTGAAACACTGTGAAGTAAGTAAATGAGACATGTAAAGATGCAAGTGGTGCTTGACTTACGTGTTCAACAGGGACCAGAATTAGCTCAATTACCTGAGCTTAGCCTTTCTCCCCTGTCAGTATTCTGTTCGGTGGCTGAGATTTTTCGCATGGAGGCTGCTTTTACATGCACGGTCAGGTACTACGTGCAAACCTTCACAGCATTTAAGCATGTGCCTCCACTGCACGGTTCACGCTAGCCTCACTGATACAGTGCTCCCAACCTGCTCATCTCTGCATGCAGTTTAATAGTACACATCTTAGGCTACAAACCAATCTCGATCAAGGACACAGGCTAAAAATTGGTTGTGTGTTGTTACACTATCAGGGCCACCTTGTGATTCTCGTCTCCGAATGCATCCTCACAATCTCTAAAAAAGCAGTAACTCTGACTCAAGAAAACATTTTCATTGTCCAAGTCCTAGCAGACAAACACCACGCTCACACCCATGCCCCCCTCCTGCTTGTGAGGGGCTCCTTCAAACGTCCACAGAAGCGCTGTCATTCTCTCTCAAAACGCTCACAAAGATACGGAAGGATAAACCCATCGGGGCATTAAGTAAGCCAGCCATTACTTCAGAATCCCAGCCTGCCTACATCGAACTGCTGCGCCTTGTCCCGGCCTGTTCCCGTTGGGACAGACGCTGCCTCCCCCTGTGCACTGCACCAGCCAGCCCAATTCTGTGCCTCAGGGCACAGCGATTGAGCTGGGAATTCCCAGCAGAGCAGGTCACAGCTGAGGCATTACTATTCACCAGGCAGAGAAACTTGAAAGAGGAGGACAAATTCACATGCCACAGCTAAACCACAGAAGTCTACGCACAGCGGTAGATTTCCCATGAAGGGAGGGTAACTCATGGCTTCAGCGATACGGTTGTGATCATCATATAGAAAGTGGTAGGTGATAAAAAACTTTGAGCTTCTGAAGGATCACATATTTTTCCAAACAGAAGTTAGCATTGTATTTAAAAATCAGTATCCAATTATTTTGGGCACTTTTAAGACCCAAATCATGCTGCACAACAGAGTTCACAGACAATCTGTAGGAAAAGGCTTTCAAGCATGAGGTTTAACTGCTTCAATTAGAGACTTTTTTTTTTTTTTCCTCTCTTGACCTTTAAGCAATAAGGGTGTATTACAAGGAATAACTGAAGTTGTATTTACAAAAAGATAAAATTAAGTCAGATAGTCAAATACCAGCTGTCCTTTACCTCTACCAAAGAAAGATCTTGAAGCACACAATAATTCAGCCTCTCAAGAGAGTGCATCTGCCTTCTAAACAGTTTTTTCATTTTGCCTACCTTTCAATGTTCCCATCTGTGATATCTTGAACTTTAGCGGACAGATCAGTATTTATTTTCTCCATTTGATCTTTGTTCTCCAGACCTATGCTGTTGCCATTGTACTTCTCTGTGGTTATTTTGGTTGGGTGCGGAGGAGACTGCTCAGAACTTGGCGCTTGGTCCTCCTTAGAGAGCTCCTTCCACCGTTTCTGCAAACAAGGAGAACATATTTCAAACATTCCCCTAATGCTGAAAGCCCTCTTTGCCCAAGATGTCTTCCCACAGAAAAGCCACAGAAGTAGATTAAAGGAACTGCTAGATCAAGAAAAAAAGAGCTGCCAGGTGAAGAAATAAGGTTACATGAAGACGCATCTTCTCCAACAATGATCCCTTTTGATATTTCTTTTGATTTTTCTCTAAAAAACAATCAGTTTTTTCCTCACACAAATCACACAGCCTATAAAGATACAGAATACCTTGGAGAAAAAAAGAAAAAAATCAGTTACTTTCAAAGTCTATGATAAGAAAGATGAACTGAAAATTGACCCTTCACAAAACGAGTGTTAAGATCCTCGTTTGTTGAATGAATTCAAGACTGCTGGTCTAAACTAAGTATCAAGCTCTGAGAGTGATGTCAAAAAAACCCCAGCTACTTATAAATGAACTGCTGGCAGAACAAGCTTCAACAATTAACCGACTCCACTGCAGAGGAGCTGCCAGTGTAGATCTGAAATTCACAAAGGGAGCCTTCATGCACAGGACACTTCACTCTCAGAGGTTATCTTTGTTTTCTCTTAAACACAAAAACACTAAGAAGAGAAACAGAAACAGCCACTAACAAATGGAAATCCACTTAGCAGCTCCCTCTTCTTGTCACAGAAAAAGGCCTTTTGGAAGACAGGGCTGTGTGCATAAGAGACTTGCTGGCTAAGATAAGTACTGATTACATCTGGAGTGATAAGCCACATCGGAAGAAGTGCAATCAGAGACAATTCTACTACTCCTGTCAAACAGAACACATTTCCCACCAAGAATTCTATTCTGAACATGTAACAAGTATAGCTGAAGTGGCTGGTAATTTTAAGTTTAAAAATCGATGACAAGACTACGTGAATGGCACAACTGGTAAAATAATGTAGAACTCGGAGCAGACGGACAATGAGGATTGTGTTGCTAAATTACTTTTGCCATTTTATGATACTACCTGCAGTTTTACAAAAAAGAACAACAAAAATACATCTCAGGAACTGAAGTACTACACTAGTCTTGTGAAATTATGTCTGGAAGAAACAAAGACGTGATGAAGTTTGATTTAAGAAATACAGTTGTCCTTAAAATTATAACCAAAATGCCTGTTGTCCTGTTGTAGGGGAGCCTAAGACTTAGGGGCCTGTATTGCCACTTGGAATGAGTGGGGACAATGAAAGGTATGCTGAGATGTTCAGCTGACAGAATCAGGTGAATGTCAGACACAGTTTTTTGATTCAGAAGTTTCAGTACAAAATTACAATATTCTTGTTCTCTGTCTGCAAAACAAATCTCTGGATTGAAGGAATTCAACCTTCTTTGTCCTTTCAAAGCCACAGATTTGTTTTCCGGAGACCATTCATTTCAAGAGATTTTTTCAGAAGAGTGACAGTAAGTTATTCTATTGTGTTATTGAAGCAATATTAACTTATCTTTATTACAAAGGAATTTTATAGAAATGAAAACTTCCATCTGGTTCCACCTCACCCATTTTATACAGCACAGTGCTGCAGTATAACTAGGAAGCAAGTCATCATTTCAGCTGCAGCACCACACAGCGGCACGCCAACCACATGCCTCTGCAGGGCTTCGGGGCAACCCAGGTGAGCCTGTGATCCTTCCTTTCAGCCACAGGTGGAAATCCCAGAGGTGCTAAGGGAGGGGAAGAGACTCCTCAGCCCCTGATACAAGTGCTGCAGTTGCTGCCAGTAGCTGTAAGCAAGTCAAGGTTGAAGTGTATGTTGTGTTTGCCTGCACGGTTTACTGACTTCTGAAACCCATGGAGATGCCAGAGGTGAACATTTGGGTAAAGTTATATTGAGAAGCATTCAATGACTTCATGCCTTCCCCATCATGAGCAGAGAGAAGCGAACACCCCTCACGCTCTGAACAGTACAAAAAAAAAAAAAATTATCTATCTGACCTTGAAAGGAGAAATACACCTATTAAGCACTGCAAATAGATTTTCTGCACATGACCCTGAGGCCTAAAGAGAAAAGCACCAGGGCAACTGCCTGCACTGCAGAAAACATTGGTTTAGGAAAGATATCTGAACAATGATAAGAAAAAGAAAAAAAGAACAAATTAGAAGTGTGCCTTCTTAAGCATTCTCTTCATATAAAGAAATAACACACTTAACTGGCAAGCAGTATTCTGAGTTGACAATGATCCCTTGTATCCAGAAACAAGAAATCATGTGATCTAGATGCGTAACTGTAGGAACCAGAGCCACTCAACAGCTTAGAGCATGGCTTTTTAAAAAGCAAAGCAGAAGAATTATTAGAAAGAAGAATATCCTCATACCACCAGAAACAGCTTTCAGAAAATAAAGAGGCTGAATTGCTGTTAGTGTTAGGATGAATCACAGTCTTCCAGGCATATGGCGCAGGTGTCAGACTAGCAGCACACTGCCTAGGTGTTAATTAGAAGTTGTGCAACATTATTTCTTCATTTAAATAGCAAGTCAAGAAACATTTGTCAAAAAGAAGAATTTGACAACTACCAGAACCACAGAAAAGAAGAAATGTGTTTTAGTTTATCTGCTTCCTTCATTATTTTAAGAGATCAACAAAATAAAAAAGCCCTAGTGTACCAAAGCAGAATTAAACGTTTCACAGCCTCTCCGCCCGGTTTCTCTCCCACCTAGCCCCAGCCATTTAAAATACCTGTACCTACTGTTACACCTGCAAGCCACACTGATAAAGTATTATGTTTGGCTAGATTCTACTAACCATAACACAAATTTTAAAGCATATGGGGGGGGGGAAGGCAATTTCACAAATAAACCTGATCTGTAGTAGCAGGCAACTTTACTGTTAGGAAAATAAATAGCAAAGATCAAGAAATCCTTAAAAGATCCTTACTATCTTTTCAAAGTGATACTGGGAATTACATTTGCTTTTCAGTGTTGAAAATAATGATTTACCCTTTTTTTTTTTTAAATGTTTTTTAGTACAGACAAGTTATTTTTATATTTTATCTAAGAGCCAATACCTTCTAGGCATCCACTGAAAAAGGCAAATTATTTAAATCCCGCAAACTCACATGTTTTAAAATAGTTTGGAGCTCATTCTTAACTACTGCTAGCAGTCTACTGCTTATGTTTAAATACATGGAGCTAAACATTTACCTGTATAGTTGAATCCCCCATTATAAATTTTGCTCCTTCTATTACAGCCATATATGAAAATCTTAGTTGATCGGGAGTCTGAATAAGTCCCATTCGGTATTTTCTCATGTCCAGTAACACTTTCTTAATATCTACAGAAAATGGGTCTTTTTTCTCCATCTGTAAAGAAAGTTACATGGACAGCATCATTACTAGTGAGAGACACAACATACAAAAAATAATTACAAGTAAAGATTAGTCATAAAATTCAATCTAAAAATTAATTTATTCATATTATGTTTCCATTAATTATATACAAAATTAACATGTCAAATGATTTCTAAATTGTTTTTACAGGGAAAAAGTTAACCATCTAATGAAAGCTTACTATGAACAAATCAATGATCATGTATTAACCAAATAAATCAGTACCCTAATATCAAGTTTCAAAATTAAGAAACCTACATACACTTGATTTTATTCAGGCATGTATTTGTACTCTGAAACAGGACTATAAGAATCAAAACCAGAAAGCAGTATTTTCTACTACTCCTGAATAGAACAGCAATTTGGAATGACCACATGCGGCAGAAGCTTCCTTCTTTAAAGCAGAATTCCCTTATTTAAAGCAGGATCCCTAATCCAAGCAATGCACATGCTTGTCCCTACACTACATTCACAGGGTGTTTTTAACCATATATCTGCACTTCTTGCAATGTTCATTTTAATTTGTCTAATGTTAAAGTATACTTGCATCAAAATATATACCTCTGTTTTTCAAAATGCAGAAAAGAAGAAAAACTGGAAAAAAAAAAAAAATAAATTGAGAAGACCCAACCAAACCAGAAGATAAGTGTCTTGTAATTTAAATGAAATCCTACTTCACCTAACCCTGTGATGTACTTCTCACTATTACCAAGAACAGCCAAAGACAAAAAGTCTGCGTCTGTGCTTCAAAATACAACAAGAATTTAAAGAGATTATAGTATTTTTTCACTCAAGTCATGAGCAGTTATAGATGATGCAGTTCACAGAGTAAGCAAAAAACCTACTCATTTATGTGGTACTGCAACTGGCTACCAAGCCCCACCTCCCAGAGGGCTGCACACCTAGGGAAATTCTGCACCATCCTCCATTACACACTGCAGGAGATCCTGGGGCGTGCCCAGGTTCTCACCCTAGTTCAGATACCAATTCTCTGCAACCGTAAGGAAAGGGGACTGTCAGACCTGCAAGACAGTCTATGTTTAGAAAAAAAAAAAAAAAAAAAAAAAAAAAGACTTGTATATTCAGTTGTCTCAATATATATTCACAAGCCTAACTTTAAGCTCATATTGAAATAAATAAATAAATAAACAAACAAATAAATAAATATTTTCTAAGCACATCTTATATAAAAGGAAAAGAATGCTTACTATTTACTTTCCAGGAAGCTTTGAAAAACGTGTAAAGTACTTCAAGATGGATTTGTAAATATTTTGCAAAAGTTGTGGTTTTAAACTGTCAAAATATGTGAAGGAAACAAAAGAAGTATCATGTCTTAATTAAAAGTTTTCACTGCCATGTCATTAACTTAAATGCTTTTAAAGCCTTCTGACCAAAAGCCCACATTGGGAAGACAAGCAGAGTGTGAGGAGAAGGAAAGGGGTGACAGAGAAAAATCACCGAACACTTACCAGAACAAGACAAGTGTCTACTAATGAAAACGTGCCGGAACGTCCTATCCCCGCGCTGCAGTGAACTACTGCAGGTCCGTGCTCAGGACTTAGTGACCCCGACTCTCTGACTTTAAACAGGAAGTTCAGGAATGAAGCTGGGGATTCAGGAACTCCAAAGTCTGGCCATGTAGTATAATGAAAATGAGAGATCATCCTGGACTCACCACTCTATAAGTGAAAACAAATAAACAATACAACTAGAAAGTATTCTACTTTTGTTTAGTTAGTACACATTTCCCCAGTCTAAATCAATAGCTATTTTCTATTTCAAACCTCCCGTTTAGACAAGCAATCCAATAACCTCCTTCAAGTTGTATGATAACCAACAGTGCAGCCCTGAAGCAGTTTTACATCCAGGTTGGTAGTTTCCCCCTTTGCAATTACTACTGTACATATTTTTTTTCTTCTCAAACTTCCAATATTACATTTGGTTTGCTTTACTACTTGCCCCCAAATATTCTTCTTTTTCTACCATTATGCAGCTCAACAGCTGACAGCAGTTATTAGAGTGCTAGCATTAACAGGACTGAAAACGGGACTGAAAAAAATGCCCGTCAGCATTGTAAGCTCTCTCTACTCTGGCTCAGAGCAAGTTTTAATATCAAGAAGTATTAGCATCTCTCCTTTACACCAACCACACCGCTAAGGAGGCTTTATGGAAAAGGCATAGAACCACCCCTACAGCTGGATGTCCAGCAAGACTTCTGCTGGATGTATTCATTCTGTCTAAGAAAGAAAGAATAATTCCAAAACCATGCAGCTGTTTCAGAAGCATGTAGCTCCTCTCCTAAGGTGACCAACTAACTGCAGGTATTGAAATGAGAGCAAGAAAGCATGTATGTATCAGAAAAGCTTTGATGACAAATTTGGATTGTATCTTTACGGAACTCACTTTCAGACCTGCTGTTAAATGCTAGCCCTTGCCTCCCTTCTTTTCTTGCTACAGTGACTTTGAGACAACTTGATCACTGATTTAGCTCGGGAGTTTTAGAAAGGTTCAGTTATTTTTATCCTCCCTTCATTTCATCTTATTATCCACATGGATTGAAACCTAGATAAACCTCCACAAAGCTGGAACACAAGATTTAAAATATCAATGTATTCCAGCACAGCTTTTTTTTTTTTTTTTCAACAACAGTAAAATATAGCTATGAAATTAAAATAAATTCTACTGATCATTTCCTGCTCAGTCTGTTTCAGCTTCTTGTGAGGGATGACTTACGAAACTCCTTTGTGAAAGTAAAATAATCCAGCTCACGGTTACCACAGTAACAAAAATACTCTCCCATTTTGTCTTTTGCCTTCAATGCCTGGTACTGCAAGACTGCCAATACTTTCACAGAAAACAGTGGATATTAAGATGACTCAAGTCATTCTCAAATGCAGTTATCTTCCAGGAATATTTTGTCTTTTGGCTAAGAGCTCAACAAGGACAACAGTCTGATCCATCATATTGGGAAAATGAGTACACAGTAAGATTTCAAATAGAAAAAAAAAAAAATGTACCAAAGCCTAAATTGTGTAAAGACACTGGGATTTTCCCTTCCTTATTTTTCGGAAGCAAAGCATTAAAAAAAAAAAAAAAAAAAAAAGAAAGTATGCGTTTTCAACTGAGACCTTCTTACTGGTCTTCTGTACCTAGTTTTTCAACTATTGCGTTAACACACTAATCAACCAAAATGACCCATTTGTTTAAAAATCATGAAGGAGACACTTTTTTTAGTAAGAAATCTGGAAATTACAGCATTTTAAAGAAGGTACCACTCTTAAGCAATTTCCTCTTAGAAAAATAACTCATCAATTTACAAACAGAATTAAAAGGAAAACTGGAGAGATGAGCTAAACGCACATATTAGGTAAAGCAAAAGTTGAAGTTGTTTCTTGTTAATCTAGATGATCCTTTGAAGTGGTAACTGATACTCTCCCCCTCAAGATTCTTAAATCACATGGCTAAGTGTCATCCTGCTCATACACTAATCTGAAAACGGTATTTGTAAAGGAAAGATTAAACAGTGCTGTCGTACATCTCATCCAGCTCTAACCCACAGAATTGCTTGTTTTCCCTCATACTGTACAAAGGCTTTATCCATCCCACAATTTTCCATCTCTTCAGCTAATTTTAAAATGAACCCTGCCTCTTCATCTTTCTCCGTGAGGCCCATTTCAGAGCACCAGAACTGGCTGGTTTTTCCTGAACTTGCAGTTTCTAATCGTACAGCCAAATCCCATTTGAATATTTTAAACCTCCCACATACTGTCTCTTAAACAGAATGGTTCTTTCAAGTGGTGCTTGGCAGTCAAGCTGTAGAGCTGAAATACTGTCTTTGCGTGAATATCCATACCACCCTTTCTGAAAGAACTCCCCCTGCCACTGAGCCATGCACAGCAGCTATCCCTTAGGTTAAGTGACACAGGACTATAATGAGAAAAGGCTTGGTTTGCTCAAGATTCACAACTGTTGATGGACAGAAACTCAGTTTTAAAGAACAAGTGTTATCAGGAAACTAGATATTATTTTAAAGAAAAAAAGCTGGACTTCAAGACTCAAGCAGTAATATAAAAATTTATGTCTAGTATACACCGGGAACACATTTCTGCATGCTAACTGAAAACCAGCTTATTCTATGGTAACCACGACAGATTCTTCTAAGATTCATTTCCTATGACTAGCTACCAAAAAAAAAACCCCAAACTTAAAAATCCTTGAATAATCATTGGACAACTTCTAAACAAACAACTTTTCAAGAAGAGGAGTCAAACCATTCTAGCAGAAGTTTCACAAACTACTGGGATAAGCTTTCAGTGAACAACCATCATCGCTAAAACTGATGAACTCCGTAAGTTAGCACCATACTGCAGTTCTCCACTGACTGCTGGCAACACTACAGCATAATCAAAGGACGATCAAACCACAAGCCATGCTCCAGGTTACAAGCAGACATCCACATGAGGGCTTGAGCAGAAATATAATAAAATGCCATTAGACTAATTTTCATCAAAACAAGCCTTGCCATAACCTTTTTTACAGTGGCTATCCAATCACTCAAAACAAAAGGATACAAAAATCTTAAAATAGTTTTAAGGTTGTTCAGTTACCTGAGGGTATGAATATGAATAAAACACTATCAAAATGCTCAAAGGAATTTGACGCCTTCCATGTCAAGTTGAACAGGTGAAGACACAAAAATGCTGGTCTGTCAAATTTCACACACTCCTTATAAAAGCCTTAATTTCATAGTTTTAAAGGCTACTGAAATAGTCTTAACATATGAAGGCATAAAATACACATACAAACTCCTTGTGGTCCTATATTTAATGATCATGCCTTAAGTGCATTAACAACTGATTTGATCATATAAAAATGAGAAGGCATGCTGTAAAAGGCAATATTTTACACACTGAAATTCAAAAACTTAAATCAACTTTTATCACAACCTCTTCTGTTTGTTTATTCTAATGCTTAGCAAAATGGTTTTCAAAATGTACATAAAAATGACAGTGAGGATAATGGGCCCAAATAATCCTGACAAACATTCTGGGTTTTTTTAAATAACTAAAGTCAACGTGGTAATAGCTATGCCCACTGAATCCGCAAAACACTGACATTCAAGTGAGTCTGGGTTCTCCTTTCCTGTTAGACACCAATACCTTTCCTAACACCTAAGTCTTATTTCTGTGGTCATGAAGACCAAAATTAATCCCTGTTGCAGTTTGTCAAAGTGATATGAGGACGCTCTACAAGTTTAAAAGCAAATGTTTGCCACGTTTCAGAAATCCCTCCAAAACACTATAGGAATTACATACACATCTGTATACCACAAGATCCCAGAACATGACCTGCCGTTAGACTGCTTGCCTCCACAAATAACGTATCTTCTCAGTACATTTAAAATTTTGGACATTGGAAACTAGCAGCAAAGCAAATCTTACCTTCTTGAACTACACTGGCACTTCCTGGTTCATCCACAGGATCAGACAGTGAGGGCCACTAAGCAGCCTTGCGTCACCTTAATCTAACAGCAATGGCCACATGGAAGCTGGGTATTAAGTTGAGAATCCATTTTGCTAATGGGTTTTTCCAAATATTTGCTATTTGCAGAGGACTCAAGATTCCACTTGGGGTTTATTAATGGACCTTACTCTAAAGTATCATACCACCAGTGTCACATCAAATCTCTTCTAGTCCTTTCTTCTCCAGCAAATATTTTCTTTGCAAACCTTTTCTTCAGCTGCTTTATTATTATTTCTAGGAACCCAGTCTGAGATACATTCATCAAGGCTCCTCCAGCCATTTAATTCCTTTCCACCGCTCCATTTCCTCACCCAGTCAGTCCCTGGTTTCCCTCAAGTACTGATGCTCATTTGCCCTCCCACAGCTTCACTGAATTCCCCAGTACCAACCTCGTGTGGGGTTTTGCTTATAAGCATCGCTGTATCTTTCTCCAGGTTCCCCGGGCTGTCACACCAGAAATTACTGAAAACACAAGTTTTCTTTCTTTGAAGACCAGTATTTATACTTGTGACAGGGAAAGCTAAAAAGCAGCCATCAAGAACAATATAAAAATACGCATTCAACGCAAGGTGGAGTCTTCCAGAAGTTGGCTGTCAATACCTAACAATTCCCCTGTCATATTGTCAAAAAACTTAACAAAACCATCCAGTAAGGTTATTTTACAGATTTAACAAACGGCTCTCATAAACGCCTATCACTTCTCCAATATACTGGGGGACTTTGCTTCAAATCACAGACATGCAGTAGCTAAACACATAAATGATTTATGAATTTTTAACATGAGCACAGTATTTTTCTTCTACCCTTATTTTCTAACAGAGGCAAAGGTTTGTGGAAGCCTTCACAGTCAGTCTTTCCTCAAGGACAGTTCTGAACCTGAGCAATTACAGCAGAAAGCAGTGGTCAACTTTCAGAAGATCTGACAATTAACATCAACAAAACGATGGAGGATACACAATGAACCATGGTGGAAAGGCAGCTTCAAATTTCTGTGTTCTGGAATTCAGACTAGGTCAGGCAAAAAGTAAGGAAATGCCACAATAAGCACCAGCAAGACAAAGCACATTAGAAATATTTTCAAAACTTTTGGAAAGATACCAATAAACACCACCTCCTCTCCAAAGCTTTACTGGACTACACTAGCCACAACAGCAAAACCAAATGTTTGCCTAGAACAGATATAAACAAATCAAACTGCCAAATGCCTCCATCTAATCCTAAAAAACAAACATTGCCCCCCTCCCCAACCCCCACCTGTACTTCTAACTGCTCTTTAACAAAACAAAACAAAAACACCACCAACAAAAACAACCAAATATTCAGAGGTTGTTTAATTGGCGAGAAGATTAAACAAGCACTTTACTCTTCCTACATATGTATTTTGCTCATGTACTAGAAAGATTTGTTGCAGTAACACAATTTACTTGAGTTCAGAATGATTATATTACAAAGACAATTCTAGTTCTGTTTTCAAGGAAATACTAAAATTTGTTAAGCATTCTTGGAATTCAGAGTCTATTTTGTTCGTGAGTCATCGTATATTCCAGGCGTCAAGTGGCTAAGTATCTTACTACTCTGCCTCCACTAAAGCCCCCTCCAGAATAACTTGTATAAACACAGTTAAGCTCACATTTCAAGTTACTGTGAATACTTGGTTCCCACAAGTTTTATGGTATAATTATCAAATTCTTACAGAAGGCTGCACTTAACATTTGCAGTGTTGTTCTAGAAACTATGTAGCTTTTCTGTGTGAATAACCAAGTATGTTGTACTTCTTGGAGATGTTTTACACAAAAAATATTCTTTGGAGTTAGTATTTGTGGAGCCTTATAGGAATGCTAGGGCATTAAAATAAAAATTCAATACAGTAAGTTTGCTAAGTATTTGTGAAACTGAGTTACATGACACACAAGAAACTCTGGACAGCATTGACGGGCCTGCATTACCAGTCCAAAGCAAACCCAGAAGTTTCAGGGCTCAATAGCTCCAACTCAAAGGTCTTATACGTTGTGCTGTTCCTCAAGGAATTTCTCCATTTTCCAGCTAATGTCTGTATAATTTCATTATATGTACATGTCCAAACATGTACATATAATGAAAACTGCATCCTTTGAAAACAGGAAGTTTAAGATTCGTGGCCTACATCAGCCAGACAATTCCTCTAAGAAGCCGTTTTTGTAGTTAGGAAAACTTGCCTCCGTTTTCCAAAACGGAAAATTATTCTTTCTCAGGCACTAGCTTGCAAGCACTACTACTCTTTTTTTTTTTTTGATTTTGCTGTCAACAAACAAACAACTAAACAGAAATTCTTTGGGTCAGTAGGACAGAATTTCATAAAGCTCTTCTTACGTTGAATAGACCAATGAACAACATTGCCAAGTTTTATCATGTTGATCTCGTGAGGGAGGTTTCGAATTAACGAAGATCATCTCAAAGTACCATTAATAGTTACTATAAATTCAAATAATTTCGACCAAATATATCAATGTTTAGTTGTATAAGACAACATGCAAAGGAACATCTTCAAGCTTTCCTTTCCCAAATCCACTGACAAGACAACCTTGAATAAAACTTGCCATACTAGCACTCATTTAATATAAGGCAAGGTTTATAGGGAGAGAGAATATCTTACAAGACATAGCTGGAACAAACAGACAAGCTCTTCAATCCTGTCTTCAGCTCTGAAACAGAAGCAGCAAATTCCAACCCAAGCTCAGGCCAGGAACAATTTTTTTTGAGCTTAACTTGATTAAACTGTCAAAGTGCTTAATTTTTAAGAGAAAAGGATGGTTGGTCCTGTGGAGCAAAAGGGGAGGTAAGCAAGAGGAAATAAAGTTACCTATCTACAGGTGGTAATCACCCCTCCCCCAAAACACTTAGATAGCTGAACTGAATTATAAGGAAAAATAAAGTTCCATTAAAAAACAGTAATCACTGAGTCTGATTTCTGATATTCAAAAGAAATCAGAAATTTCAACTCCTAGGTTCCTCCTTTTAGGGGATTTCTTACAGCTCCTCTTAGAATCACCACTACCATCAATTACAATTCAGCATGTTAAGGTACTGCCAAATTGTAAATGTAAGTATAAAAATGCCGAAGCCATTCTCTCTTTTAATGTATAGATTAATTCAGGTCTACCTCACTAGCTTGCACAAATACTTCTTCAACATTATCAGAAGCAAAGTGCATTAAAGTTTTCAGTGTAAAAGCTCAATCAAACGTTTTTCATTACATAGTTAAGCCCAGAAATATGAACTATACAGACTGAGAAAAGCTTACGTTGATATTTTCTAACTGCAGTAGATGTACTGTGTAATAGGATTTGACGTCTTCAGATACTAGCCTCACACGGAAACCTGTTTCACTGAATGTCATAACTTCCTCTTCTTTTGTTGGCCAGTATTGTGCACACTTCACCTAATTTATTTTAGGAGAGAGAGAGAGAGGAAGAAAAAAAAAAAAAAAGAAAGAAAAATCTGGTTAAGTATCCTAGTATCTTGGGCTTTGCATGAGCAGATTCTGAGACCCTGTTATTCAATACAGTAGACTCAAGCACCCACTCCCAGTTTGAGGAATTCTCAAAGTCCATAATGTTTACAGCCAAGTTACTACAACTGTTTCAATGGCTATTATGCATTCCAACTTCATCTGTTTATGCTTTCTTTCATCGCAGGGCTAGCACGTTTTGAGATAAACCCTTCTCCCTCTCCCCCCCCTCTAGTTCTCTACACTGAACGGAGATCTTTACTCAGCTATTTCAACAACATTTCCCCCCTCCATTTCTGACGCACACACCTGCACATTTACATAACCGATATATAACACATCCAGTTTTCCCAAGGCTTGCTGAGTACCAGAAGATTCTAGCAAAACAAAAGAATGAACTAACAAAGCAATGCAAAACTGTCCCTTGTCCTTCATTCCTCTTGCCCTGCACTCAAACATACTGTAGGAAAATTTCTGTGTAAGAAAGTGACTAATCAAATCTTTTTCACTAACAAATCTACTCTGAAGAAAAACCATAAACCGCAAATGATATGCATTTGTAATAAAATCCACAGTGGTTTTAGGCACGTTAACAGAAAAACTACATCATAACAGAAGATTTGTGTATTCTGCACGTATGCCACCAGCTGCACAGAATCAAAAATAACTAGACCAGTTTGACAGCTGCTGGGCAGCAGCTTGTCTTCATTGTCACCAAGAGCTAAGATCACTAGGTAACAAATATGCTACTCTGTTAGATTTAGAAGAAATAATCTAAAGACACTTTAATTCAAACTTCTTTTCCCACCTTCCATTTTGTTCTAGATAGAGCATCTTACACTGCTTCTACTCCATCTTATTTCTATCTGTACATCCTCCTTTCTCAGGACATTGCTTTCATTCTTCTGTATGTGTATTTCTTAGATGCCGTTTTCACCAAACTGCATTTTGTGTCTTAGCTCCATCACTTTAATGTTATATTAAATACATGCTATGCTGCACACCAGTGAGAAAGTCTACTAGTTCTTTTAACATACCAATCAAACATTCAACTGTGTTAAAGTTATGTGGCTTACTTAACAACTTTAGGCCTAATATTACTTACCGATTGTTTTTCGACAATTCTGTTCAGCATGACAACTGCTTTGGTTTGTTGTTGCCATACCATTAGCCAAAAATGACAACATGTATTAGGTAGTGGACCCTGTGTAGTAAAGAAAAAAAAAAAAGGGTGGGAGAATGTATAGGCAAAGCAGTCTTTGAACACAGTTAATAGTTCACTGTGTAAAACAGGAAAAAGTCTTCCTCTGAAAAGTTTAAACAAATTATTAATAGAATGATAGAAATGACAGGCAAGAAAGTAACCACACTGCACAGATCATTCCTGTACTTAAAAGTTTAAAAAAAAAAAAAAACCAAACCAAACAAACAAAAAACCCAAAACAATGAAACAGCAAGAACCGAGGGAAAGGATGTTTCAGTTCAGGCATCAATACTATTGTGCCATTAGAAGAAAAGCTACTGCAGACATGTTCAGAAGGTGTAAGATGAAATAAGGGGTAAAAGTATTCTTGCAAGCTATTTCCAAAAGAACTGAGGAAAAGAGCAAGAAACAACTGAAAAGCTTTATATAAACTATTAATACCTAAATATCCCCTTCAGCTTTTTTTAAAATATGTGTTCACAACTAGATCAAACAGGCAGTTACTATGAGATATTTGTAACTCGAAGAGACAAAGAACCATCCAAATACAAATTGCAACTGTACAAATTCCCCTCCCCCAGATTCTTAATTCCTAGAACAACCTAGTAATTGGTACTACTTACCTGTGTTAAAATGTAGTATCTCTGGGCTTCTTCTATGACCACTAGGCTGGCATTGATATAGTCATTCTCAGCGTTCTGCAGTTTTACACGACTATGATCATCTAAAATTCAAAGAAAATTAAGAATTAATGACGCATCCATCTTGATGAATACTCTCTAACAGGCAAGTTTAGGTCTGACAAGCAATTAGAAATAAATTCTGCAGTACTAACAAAATGGCAAACTACAAATATACATGAAACTAATTTCTCGTGTAACTTTGATCACTGCCTGTCTCGTGTTCCCCTCAGTATTCTATCAGAGTAATTTCAGGCAGCTATGAATAGAAGCTGCTCAGAAAACTGGTATACCCAGTTTTCTTTAAAAAACAACCAAACAAAACAACCCTCCTCACATGCCAAAAGGTGCTCACAGCTATCCCTCAACAGTTGCATTTCCTTAATACAACAGCACCACAACACACACCAGGCAGCACTCTGTCCTATCACACCAGATCACTCTGCTGCATGGTTTCCTTTGAGTTCAGAATTCCAAGATTTTTGGTGAACTCAAGTTTCATCGGTTGAGGTAGAATCATAAAGTTAAACTCATACAGCTAAAAAAAAAAAAACACAAAACCCAAAACCAAACCAAAAAACCTACTTGCAATTCAAACCAAGCTTTGATCAATTTGATTTTCCCTGTCATGTACTGTTTAATACTACATAAATTAAAAATACCAAAGAAGGGGCATATGCAAAAACGTACCTATTTAACATATCTTCCAATTCAACGAAGCCTAATCTAATTACACAGTTTCAGTCTCTCATGATTACACAGGCAAGACAGAAGATTCCCCTATTTATGGCAAAGGCAAGCAAAGGACTCCATTTAAAATTCTATTATTCATATGGCAAAGATTATCAGACTGTCATACTAAAACACTGCATAGTAAAAAGGCACTGTGGCTGTTCCTAGAACCTTTTAGTATCTGATTTATCACCCTCTAGCAGACATTTAGGTAATCAGACTTGTTCACAGTAAGTAATCCTTCAGCCATTTATTAGAACTGTATTAAATAAAAGAGCATTTTTAGTTTAAAATTTGTACACAGCTGCCTGCCAGGAAACAAGATCCAACTGACCGCAAACTCCTGAAGCTCAACTGCCTAGACAGACTGTTTATGAGAAGAATAAATAAAAAATAGCAAACTAAAACGAATTTAAGAGACTTCAACTCATGTCAGGAAGAGATTCCATACAGAAACTGACCCAGCTGAGAGTGAATTACGGCGCAATGCCAGTTTTTAACCTACATTTACCTGGACTAACCCACAGAACTCATTCGGGGTGCAGACTGATGGCACAGCTGCCGTTGAAATGACAGCATAGTTTTCCCTCTCCCATCCCCACACCAAAGGGCTAACTTCCTTTTGACAAACATCCTGGGAAATGCATAAAACCCATGAGTTTTGATATGAGCAACTACCAAGCATCACGTTCAGTGCAGCTATGATAGCTGAACTCAGATTAAGTCCCTACATCACAACCAGTCTATACAGCACAAGGCTTATCTAAGAAATCAACGAATCTAACTCCAGATGGGCAAAAAGCTGATGGGAATCAGAAAATAGTTACTGAATTAGAGTAGGTAGAATAGTTACCATCTTGTTCTATGGCCCTCATGAGATTGTATAAATACCTTCCATGTTTGGAAACCCAGGAAAGGTGCATTTATTAGGTCTTGATCTGCTTTTACACTCTCCCTCGTCTATCTGCTATTGGCAACTGTCAAAAATGATCTTGCTCGATTCAAGGAAAGAACTCAACAGTAAATTACTGGGTTTTTTCTGAAGGATTGAGATTTAGGGTTGCCATCCTGCCTCCTTTAGCTACTAGCTTTTATATACAAATGTGCAGAGAACAGAAATATGCCGAAAACCTGTTTTTAATACAAAAGCATCAGAAAGTTACTGGTTTAGTCTGTTTTCATTAGCATTCTGGCTGTAAAGCAACACCATCTTGACTTTCATGAGTCTTGAAACAATTTATGATAGATCTCTATGAAGAAAAAACTATTATCAAAGCCAAGACACAATAAAATTAAGACACATGTGCATTTAAAAGTAAAATACATCTCCTTGTATTATTTTTTTCTGGATAGTAAAGTGTTACTTTTTCCTTTCAAGTATCACTTTATCTGAAATGTTTCTACTGGATAGAAACCAAGACCTTTGTAAATATTACATGTCATTTGCCAACAGGAAAAACTTAAGATCTTGTTATAGTAAATCACACATACCGGTACTAGTGTTCTCGGAAAGATGACGTAAGCAAGCACTGTTAACAGTTTAATCACCCAGCAGCAGCTGTTGTATTGCTGCCAGTAGGAGATAACTGCCGAGGCCTTAATGAGGATGCCTAATGTCATCTTTACACACATTTCCAGGCTTCTTTTTTGCTTCTTATAAATTATGCTTTGTAAACATGACAAATACAATTCTGAAAGTTTTTTTAAAAGCCCCTTTAAGAACTAATTCTATTCACAGACAGCCTGCCTCCCTCCTGCTCCCCAACTAAAACAAAAGTGATCCTACAGATACACTGGCATACCCTCCACAGGACAAAAAAAGCCACTAGAATATATTGATTTCCCCTCTTTCAAGGAAAAAGGTTTCTAAAGGACACAATGACCTAGAAACCTCATTCAAGCCCTGGCTCGCTCTTCTGGATTAAATGAAGGAAGCTGACTTTTGACAGTGAGTTAGCTGTAACATATTTCCTGTATGTAAATAATTTCCAGTTACAAAGTCCTTTAGATTTATATGAATGATAAACCTATCTTAAATCTTATCTTAAAGATTTATCTTAAATGTTGCGAAGACCACAACAGGGAAAATATAGTACTAATTTTCTGAAGTGCTAATTCCCCTACTTCAACAAACTATGCGGCCTGAAAAGGAAGTGGAAACCTTAAAAACGCTTCTTGTTCTGGCTTCTGCACTAAGAAAACTCCTCTCACAATGACCCTGCCTGAGATAAGCAAACTCTTATTACCTACTTCAAGTGAAACCCTGTCTCACTGATATCACACTCCCCATGTCTCAAATAAGGCCAAGACTGCACATTACACATCATTTTACCCACTCCCTGATAAAGAAAATGACATATCCAGTTAAAACAGAAATTTGAAACATTTTGGCATTTCACATCACACAGTTCTTGCAGCTGGTTAATGAAAGGTTTTTACTTGAAAACAACTGTGTTTCTAGAAGTGAACGATCTTCTGTCGAAGAGATGCCTCTGGCTTCCCAAATATAGAGCTACTAAGAACAAAGGAGGTTGAAATGCTACTTAGTGGATTAAAGAAAGTCATAAATAAAACATGTAGCCACAAGCCATCCCAATGACCCAGCCTGACCCTTTCCCGCCTGCCGGCAAATCCCCTTCATTTCACTAAACTAAATCTAGCCTATCTGAGCCGCCAAATTATTCGAATTGCAATACTCTATGTCACTCGACTTACAGCCTCAAGTTTCAGAGGTAGCCTAAGGCAAACGAAAGGCTAAGTGACTTTTCCCCACCCTGTCACTGGTTGTACGCAATGAATGCCATCATATCAATCACGGCCTAGCTCCTAACCAAAATGTATTCACACTGAAATATATGCATAACTACTGCATAGAATCCTTATACTTTTAAGCAGGACTGTGAAAAAAAGACTTAAGGTACAATAAAGTTTAGATCAGTATGTGCTATAAAATTCCCCTCTTCCCCAACCCCAAAGAAGTATCTCCAAAAGAAGCATGCCGAGTTTATTTATACCATGTTTCTGGTAACAAGATGTTTTAGAGAGTCATCAGGTAATACCATAAAATTCATCAGTGTCAGCTTCTAATATGGACAACAAGAAGCGCAGTAGGCTTATTTTGGACAGATCATCTCCCTGTTCCCAGCGAATACATTCAAAATACAGGACAGAAAGGGAACACTTTTGCAAAGATAATTTATCAGCACCAGCACAAAACCATCCACATGAGCTCCAACTCTGTTCCCCATAAAGCACGCCACTCTTCACATTCCTGTCTCCCTGGTCTATACTCTATGACAACTGTAAGCCTAGGGCTGAAAGGTCCAGCGCAGAGTCTACTAATGGGCACAGGAAGAAAAGAAGTCACTACCTCTCAAGACCCTCCAGCAGCAACATGATCTACCAGACAAAAACGTTCAGATGACCTAAGAAACTGGGCTACACACATTACAGAGGAAGGGTAATGATACAACTGTGTAAACCCCCATCTACCCTCCAAAAGAAGAAAAAAAAAAAATCCTGACAATTTTGCTGAGGGGATTTCCTTCAGAGCACAGTAAGCAGATCTCTAAAGGTGTTTACAGTCAATCTGAGACACTAGACTCCTCTGATATGGACTAAGGATAAGATTTAGAAGGAAAGTAATAAAAGAAATCTTAGTGTTTCATTAAAGTTATCAATAAAGAATAATAACCCCACAAGTTATTTTCCTCTTAACAATGTTTTCTGAGAAATGGTTTCATCTGTCAGGAAATTACTGGCTGTCAAACCAAACCTATTTCAGATTAACTTCCTGTTTCAGTACTACTACACAGCCAAAACACTCCTCTCCCTACTCTAGCCTAATACCAAACTGCTAGACTACTATTTTTTTTGGCTAAAGCAGTAACTCCTGAGGGCTTTCACCCAACCAAACTTATATACACCATAGCTCTTTAGCCAACAAAACTGGATGCTAACAAAAATATTTGTGAAACCGGAGAAAATGTGAAACTCAGCTGTAATGGGCAAAGATGATTAGCCTTTTCCAGCTAACAGAAATCAACTTCTACCTAGAAATGTATGTAATGGACACACAATGGTTTCAGCATGCATGTCCTGCCTATTACGGTTGAAATGGGGCAAACCAGCCCAAAGCATTTTTTCCTGTACTTGTAATTGACATCTTTTCTGTAAAGCAGAATAATCTTTGCACTTCCTCTTGCAGACATACTGCCTCAGATTTTAGACTGGCTTGGCAGCTATCTAGATTAACAAACCATTTTCTCACTGCTATGGAGAAATAAAATATTTTCATCAAATTATGTCTTACAGTATGTTTAAATAGCTAGACCTTAAGAGTTCAACTGCTGGCTCTGAAGGCCTTTGACTATCAGAGAATATTAGTTATTATCACCCGTTTTCATTTAAACACTGTTAGAGAGCAGTAAAATTTGCAAAGTGAAGGGCTGAGATGTTAAGATTGTGTAAGACTGAGTCATCCTGCATTGCTGCAATGCCAGTTCCTTGCTTACATGCGCCATGATTAGATGTGTTCACCACAGTGACCAAACCACACAGCTACTACCCCAGCTGCTTTGAAATTTGGGTACTGCTATCTTGAAATGTTTTTTACCGTATATTCCCCTCCAGGTCTCTTTTTCTTCCCAGCTCTCACCATCATTACAGAAACAATTATGAATCATATTTGAAAACACAGAGATGCAAGATGCAACAGGAGTTAGTTCAAAGACAGTGTTTTGCTCTGTTCTCCTCATACAGCCTTGCTCCTAGTGCCCAGTTCTGCAGGCGGTCTTGGTGGCCCAATTCAAACCTCCATTCTTTCATAAATGCTAAAAAGAGACACACTTCATAAAGTTCATCACCTTAGTTCAGTCATCATATTACAACTCCTGTCAACTAGCATGTAATGGCCCTAACCCCTTCCTGAGCCCAACTACTACTACAAGACTAGATTTTATCTGTCTCTCTCTGCTCTTGCACAGGGTCCAGGGATTAATACAATCACATAATTAAATTTCCTTCTGGCTAAACAAGCATTTCAGATTCAAGCTTTGCCATGACCAGAGCAGAGGTGTCTGGCACTCTTCACTATTGTAAAAGGCATGCCATGATTAAGGAAAATTTTGAGCTCCAAAAAAACTACAGGAGATGAATGCAAGTCACACCTCTAAGATAATGCAGGCATTATTAGATGCTACTTAAATAACACAATGTCTTTTTATTCATTTGGTTTAGAAACACTCTCTTTTAAAGAGAAAGAAAAACCACAAATACATTGAAGGTAAGGTGCCTTTCTCTTTGCAGCAGTGCCCAAGAAATTAAATCCATGGATGGGAGAAATGGTAAACGCATGAATACAACTTATGCCGCAGAAGCTGTGTAGCATATTGGAGCCAGGAATAGAACTTGGGTCTCATGGGTTCAAATCCAATTTCCTGTCTTCTCTTCTTATGACCCCCATCCCAATTTAGGTATGAAACAGAAAGCGAGTAAGACATGGTCTACTTTACCACAGGTAAGATGCTGGTGCTGTGCTGTAAAAGGACAGCAGAACTGGGACACCTATGTACCTCTGCGTAGATCAACAAAAGGTCCAGCAGAGGCCTACCTCCCTTTGCTGAGCGTGCAGCGGAAGTTAGTAAGCCTTGACTGACTTGAGGTATCTTCTTCAGAACTATACATTTCTCAAATAGGCCATACTGGGGAATGCCACACAGAAGCAGTAAGGAGGCTGAGCATCGAACTCTTAAGTTCAGTTTCATGAGAGCGCAGTATCGAAATTTAGCATTAAGCCAGACTGGATCCATTTGGTGTGAATTGCTGTGCAAGTTAGCGATCTGGCAGCAGCCTAGTGAGCAGCTCGCAGCACTGCATCTGACCAGCATGACTCAGTCCGAGACCCTTTCCGTGTAATTTTGAGAAGTGCTCTGCACATGCTGTTACCACAACTTTCAACTGGAAACAAGGAGTTCAGCACTTCTCCAAATCTTACAACAGGTATTCAGATTAGGCTCTCAAACAAAAAGCCCCAATAGACCAGCAACCCTTCAAAAATTATAGATCCAGTAACAGGAAGGCTTTTACGAGCCTTTGGTGCTCCGGGAAACTTTGTACTAAAGAACAGACAAACACTTATCCTGTTCCAACTTCAATATTTTGTAGAAAAAGTTAAGGCTGTATTAATTCTTTTTCCTAGTCCGTCTGAAAGTGATTTATGACAGCGTTCACCAGCTATAACTATGTATTGGTAATCTTTTGCTCACATGCCTTTTTATGGTTTTGGATTACAGTTGCTGAAGTAAATGCTATTGACAACGAGTCCCCAACACTTCAGCGGCAAAGAAGCTGGTAAAAAACCAAGCTGTCTTCATCTGAGATACAAGATCATTGTGCCACAAAGACCATTTTATGGCAGTTAGTAAAATACAAAGTACTCCACAATATATCTATTTGCATTGATAAAATTAAAGAACAACTTAATGCATACATTCTTCCAAACAGACAAAAGTAACACAATCTCAAGTATTTTTTAAAGCAACACTGAGTGGTGTTTATTCACACAATCTTATAAATGTAAAAAATCACTTAGCCCAAAAGGAAACTGCTTGTGTTAGTCCAGGTTTATTAACGTAATTTCTGTGCTTGTTTTTGTTGATTTTTTATGACAGATAAAGCAATATGAAATCATTTCCTTATGAGAAAAATATCTTTAAAATATTACTTTGCAGCTTACAAAAATTTACCTGTATACTAATAACTATGATTTGCAGTCATCTCATTCACCATTCAGCACAATTAATTTAATCCACGAACTTTTCTTCCTTCTGTTACACACATTTGTGTATGCATTATGAAAAAACACACTTATCGTAGGATACATGCCTACAGAAATAAACAAATACAAAACTTACAGTGTCCATGATTTATTAGCTACAGTAATTCAAAGTAAACTGGGTAAGTAAAACGTCTAGGAAGTTTACCACAATAATTACAGAAAATATACTTACACGGACTAACGTCTCTGTATCTGTTTCGATTTCTGTTTTCTGGATATTTTGCAACTCTATGAGGGTAGTCGCTGGATTTATGTCGGATTTCCTTTAGAAGACAAAAAATGCAACTTACTTATAGCCAGTAAGCTGATTGAGGCTAGTGTTCTACACACCCTATTGTAAGACTTTCAAGCTTATTCATTAATCAAGGTTATTAATAATTAACGTTTTTAAACAAACCTTTACTACACCTAGTATTATTTTCACTGCAGAAAACGTGTGTCTCATTCTTGGCGAAGCTGTTGGCATTTCCCACACCATCAAACTAACATAAGCACAATTTGGTAAGCAACTGATGTAGCAGGAATAAAGGGGAAAAAACCCAAATATTTATTATGCTTATGGTTTACCTCAGACTTGCATGTTATCTCCCCCAGTAATAAGAGACTCAGATAGATAGAACTGCCAGCAATATACTGCTAGCTCCTTTACAACAACCAGCAGCATAAATTGCCACAAAGGTAAATGAACTAGTTAATGATTTTATGGCTGCTGTTAACAGCCACAGGATTATTCTCGGTGGTTTGACAGTTCAATCCATATAGCTATAGTAGTTGAACATGATCCAATATGCAGGAACAATTCTAGACTCAGAAATATCTACGTGAAATCACAGCCTGCTTCTCTCCGAGCATTAATACAAGCCTTTCAATAATCCGCATTTGGAAGATGTTCAAACATACTCATTTACACACTATTTTAAGGAGCATACTGCTCACACATTCTGAATGTTCAGTTTCATTAGTTTTTTGCCTCCGAGTGTATCTTTTCCACAACTTCACTAAGATACACAGATTTACCTTATGCAGACAACTGAAAACACTAGCTGTGGGCTATTGATGAGCAGCCTCCAACGAACTGAAGCATCCCTTTATATCTCTGTAGTGATGCCATCTCTGCAGGCATGTTGTACGATACAGAATTAACAATATTGTATTTTGAATTCTCCTTTTGTTTTTATATGCTGCTGCTACATATGATCACTATGTCCCAAAGAGCATTTAATCTTCTCTTTACACCTAAGCATTCTTTGATCTTCTCTGTTTCCACTATCTTCTTTGTCTTCTCAAACTTCCTAAATAGTCTATAATATTCCCAGAACATGAACACAGCCAAAAAAGGACTTCGGTAGAAATCTAACATACATAAGGAAGCTCCATTTTTAGTATCTGGCGTGTGACATTACTTAAGTGCAGTGCCAACCTGTAAAGAACCTAATCCACAGCGTAGAGCAGCAACTGTCAAGCATCAAGGCTCTATACATTTGTATAAAAATCTCTTGATCTGTTAGAGAATCAGGGTTTTTATTTTGATACAGCACACGGGAATTGGTCTATCTCCTCTAGTTTATACGGCTTACAAGCTTTGGGAACAACCACATGCACATAGAATAAATGCATCTGGCAGGCATGCACTACCAATTTCCCATGAAATGTAAATTTTATATTATTTCTTAACAGGATGCATTGTAACTTGTTTAAAAGCACTTGCATGCTCCATGCACAGAAACAGACATTAAAACAGCTAGAAACACTGGGGGGGGGGGCAGACGGCTTGCTGAAAAGAATTAAACTTAGTGACTAGTTCTAATATCAGTTTTCCCACATATGATCCAGCCATCACAAACTGGAGAAACAAACCAGATGCCAGATGTAACGTAAGGCATATTACACAAGAAAAACTTGCACTGAGGGGGAAAAAAAAAAACATAAAGTAGTGAAAATCAGTATTATTTTCGGTCATTCAGATTGGATAGGAGCACCGCGAGTCAGCGTTAAGTATTCCAAACTTCATAGGATTTTACCACAAGTCTTGGCAAATTCATGGAACTGAAAGGCAAATACACAAAACTGGTCTCAGCAAGAATAATAAAAAAAACCCTTAATACCCAACTTATTTTTCTTCAGAGAAACTTACACCTCTCAGGGCAAATATATGTGTTTCTTATACAACAGTACCATAGGAAAATGCCTTCCTAAACAAAAAAAATCAGTGTAAAAACAAGCAGTCAGCAATTAAGAGTATTTTCTACAAGTCTGTGCTACTTAAAAACATAATTTGCTATTTTCTCTTTATGCTTTTAAGCAGATCTGTGTTCTCTGGTTTTAATATAAAACAAATATGTTAAGTACCATGGAAAAATCCTGAGTTTTCAAAATCTACAAAATCAGGGAAACATAAAATTCTAATACAAAAACCTTTATTAAAAAATATTCTACAGCACTGCTGTAGTAAAATTAGGAAATCGATACACAATGTTTAGCAGAGCTTAATATAGAATCTTCTCTTCAGTTTACTTCTCCAAGTACTGCTAAATAATATTAAAATGACATGGGGAAGCTAACTTGTTCAGCCTGGATATACCAGGTGTAATGCGCGTGTACTTTTTTACCTCATGAAAAATACTGGTTGCAGAAGTCGTCCCTTTCACTTTTATCTCACTAACTTAGCTCAGTTTATTTCTGCTATCCCCTGTCAGATTCAAAACACAGTTCAGTAATACACGTCTAGAGAGAATGTATTTGACCTACGCGTAAATCAAATACACCGCTAATTTAAGAGAGAAAAAGCACAACTTAAAGCCAGTAAAGAGAACTTTCATTTTGGGTTGTTTTTCCTCGTTTGTGAAAGAGCCGTGTAAAACACATACTGGCTCAAACACGTGCTCTAGTATTGCAAGCTTATCCATAAAGTCTGCTTTACGGAACTGACCCAGAGACTGTTACTGGAAGTGAGTAGCCTCGTTGGTGCCAGAGCAAAAGGGCAAGCAGCACACTTTCTGAGAGACAATGGCGCAGGCCTCCTGCCGAGGCCAAGCTGGCGAAGGCAGCGGTAACAGGCGGGTGAAGAGGGCGAGCGGCCGGCCGAGGGAGCCCC